GGAGCCCAAACTAGTTCCTTTGTTCTTTGAAGGAGCTCCCGTGTTGCTCAGGCTGTTTGGGTCTGGACACCTTTGAGGCGGGGATTTTGCAAGCGTTCCAGGATAGGACGGTTGTCGGGGAATTGAAAAATGAGGCAACAAGATTGCGAGTGGACATCTCTGGTGTGATTGAGAGGAATGGCATGCCGCTGTCGGTGCCTGCCCGGCGTGGTTATTCTACGTGAACATTCCTATTATGTGTTGTGGAAGCTTGGAGGTTTCACCTTTAAGTCAGAGAGAGGGAGAGAGGGGGGGGGGGGGGCAGGGCTGAGGAGGTGTAGAGAAATAACACATAAGAGAAGCATTATTGGATGGAACGAAAAAATTATATGTGACACACACAAACACTGAGGGGACGTTGTGTTTTGTTAAACATGGCCAAATCATTTCCTCATCATCCTCAGAAGAGTTGCCCTTTCTGCTTTGTCCCTGCAGGATGCCCTGTGCTGCTTCCTCTGCTTAGAGATCTTCCTTCCTGTCTGCAGGGACACCTGTTGGTGCAGAGCAGCTTGGAAAAGCCAAGTTGTCCCGTCAGACTGGCCTCCTTCACCACTAAAGTCACCTGGTGAGCCTCTGTTTAGCTCTAAGTGCTGGATATTCACAGCTATGTGTCAAAGAAGGACTTATTATGCAGTTCTACTGTACTCTGACTCGACAGGGACAGACAAATCTGCCTTATTAAGCATTTGAGAGGACATTAAAATGACATCTTTAGTATTAAATGTCCTAATTCATACCTGATCGCACACTGGCAACTTTTTTTAATTTTAACATTCTGATGGAGATAAAACTTAAAAAGTACCAAACATGTAATCAAACTAAGGTGAAACTGTTGGGAACAGCTTTTTATTTGTATTCAATTGTTTTATTAATTAAGACACATTTGCCTGCACCACAACAATCAAAGTGTGTTTTCATTCTGCAACTTTTTCTGCAGTCATTTCAAACTGGATTACAACTAGATCTAGCTGCAACAAACAATACATTAATGGAAGTTTAAGAAGTCACAGTCAAGTGTTTCAAAGTATGATTAAAATCTGCACAGCCTGTTTTATTAACACAGTACAAAAACAAGACATATTATGATTTAAGCAATCAGGACAGGCTACCCACGAACATCTTTTAATACCATTTAAGTGGACCGGGTTCACGATATGGCTGCAGAGCTTCACAAAATGGCTCTACCCAAATAACGATGTTGATTTATTTAATGAAAGTCACACATAATGGCGGTTTTGTCCACCAACCTCGGGGTATAATAGTAGTTTGGGTGAAAACAAACAAACAAGCTGAATGTGAATTCCCGACAGAAAAAGTGAGCCAGGGGTGAGAGAAATATGTGGCCAAATGCCAAAGAGACAGCTTACTGTTAGGGGTCTTTGGCTGGGCGCAGGAGTGGTTTCGATCTTTTTGTCTGGCCTGGCCTGGCACAGACCACAGTCCTGCCCCAGACACAATAGCTCATACAGTACGAGAGAGGGAGAGAGAGAGAGATGAGTGGATGAGGTGGGGTAGGGGAGGTATGGTGCCTTTCATTACCATGGTCACCAATGGCACTATTAACCATTCAACACCCCCCCAATTATCCTCCCATCCACAGTCAGAGAGACAAAGCCTCGGTCCTGGTCTGCTGGAGCAACATGGCCACTAATCTGTCTCACTCCAACATCACACCCACTTCACTGTCTCTGGAAGTCAGACGTGCACAAACGCTCCACAGAGACCCCATTGTACTTTTATTTGTGACAGCGCAACAAACGACTTTACTGAACTTGTTTGGGAGTTAATTTTCCTTTTTATAAAAGTGACCATTTAGAAGCGCGGACAGGATGAGGTATTGGTTGTTTTTTTGTAGATGCTGGAAAAAAACAAACAGGTGAACCTAATCTAGAAACAACAGCTGAAAATCCAAGTTAAACTCTTTGTGTTAAATGAGAGATCAGGTAAAGAATAAGGCCGCAGCATGTGCATGTATGCAGTGTTTATTTTTCATACAGGTCATGGTGTGTCTGACGCCACACGCCTTCTCCATCAAGACCACAGGCTCACAGCTGCCACAGAGCGAGCTGCATGTCTTTACTAAGGAGACTGACACAAAAAAAGCTCAATCGTGAGTTTACGCACTTCCATCTGTGTGGGTTTTTTTTTTTTTTTTAAGTGAACAAGACTTTGATGTTTGTGAGTCAGGCCCTGGGCAGGGGGCTGAGGCCTGACTGGAAGACTGGGGCCTAATGAATAGATCCACAACAGTGGCTTGTTGTGTTTGTTTACCCTTTCGCCCAGCTGCCTGGACCGTGGAGATGGGAGTGCATTCATCATGACCTAGGAGAGATGGGAGGCATAGACACACACACACACACACACACAGGAGAGTGACATGATGGCGCGCACACTGCAAAGTGTGCCAAGAAAGTGCCCACACAGGGCAAAAATCCTCGACACTCAGTTTAAAGACTCATATATGTGCTGTTGCTGCTCGCTATGTGCAGATTTTATATAGTTGAAAACATATATATATTTTAAACCAAAACTCCAAATCAATACAAAAGCTTCCCTGAAACTGCTATAACAATCAAATGAATTTAATCAAAACATTTCAACAATTATTAAAAACTTCAATTTAAACCACAATTTGCACATAACATAGTTTATATGCTTTTGAAAGTGCTGTCTTTATCATGAACCCTGCCACATTTCCACTTTCCTTTGACCTCTCCTGTCAGGGTTTAGTTGTGTGGTTCCTCCGAGTTTCTTCTCACCAGCCACGTTATTTCTCTGGCACCACAACGGAGAGCGTTATGATGTTCTGTGCCTGCTTCACCGAGGGCATGTCAATCATGCTGCCGCGGAAGGTGAACGCACCCTGAACAGGTTTACAACAGAGGTGAGAGCAGAAAGAGAAAACATTAGACCAGACGTGCACAGGAAATGCACTTTAAAATGTTCTCAGGTGAGGGATATTGTTTACAGACGCAGGAACTAGATTACTGTACAGAAAACATAACATGCCACTTCATGAGAGCCACCATAATACATATTTTATGTGTATGGGGATGTAGCATAAAAATAGGGTTTTTCCAGACTTTTAATGTAGTTTTTAATCTGTAACAAATAACACTAAACATCATCAACAGAAAACAGGATGTAAAATGCAATTTTACATAATCTA